CTCCAGGTCTCTGAGGCCTAGAATGGACTTCTGGAAGTGGCATCCACGCACTTCCGGCAGGCCGTTCTAAGCCTAGGAGGTCTCCTCCAGGCCTCTGAGGCCTGGAACGAACTTCCGGAAGTGGCATCCACGCACTTCCAGCAGGCCGTTCTAGACCTCCAAGGCCTCCTCCAGTCTCCCAGGCCTAGGACAGACTTCCAGAAGTGACATCCACACACTACCAGCGGGGCGTTTTAGGCCTCCGAGGCCTTCTCAAGGCCTCCGAGGCCTAGAATGGACTTCCGGAAGTGGCATCCACACACTTCTGGCAGGCCATTCTAGGCCTGAAAAGCCTCCTCCAGGCCTCCGAGACCTAGAACGGACTTCCGGAAGCAGCGTGCATTCAGCTGGTTCTCCGGACTCAACAAAATTTAGCTACCAGTTCTGCCGAACCGGTGCGAACTGGCTGAATCCCACCACTGGTTGTAAGTTAAGGACTACTTGTATCCATCTGAAGGAAACAGGCTAACCTGGAGCAGAGTATGGTGGAACTGATAACAGAAATGCTTACAAAGGCTCCTATATACCATTTATTATCTTCTACTTGAGGGAACTAATAATATGGCTGGTCATGACACTTCTGTGATAAAATGGAGTAGAACAGAATAGAATAACAGAGTTGGAAGGGACCTTGGAGGCCTTCTAGTCCAACCCCCTGCTTAGGCAGGAAACTCTGTACCATTTCAGACAAATGGCTGTCCAATCTGTTCTTAAAAACATCCAGTGTTGGAGCATTCACAACTTCTGGAGGCAAGTTGTTCCACTGATTAATTGTTCTCACTGTCAGGAAATTTGGAAAAAAATGGCTGAAGTGTATAGCTTTCAAGGAAAAAGTAGCAGGAGATTTAAAAACTTTCCTTCCCTATTGTTCCTTCTCTGCAACGGGCATGTCCTCGAGGCACCCCTGACCCATTTAGAGCCAGTACAAAGCACGTTTATCGTTTGAGCAAGTGATGCGGGAATAAAACCCTTCTCATCTGTCACTTTCTCTGTTCACTCTTTGGGATGCACAGAAAGGATAATCCAGGTTCCCAGGTGATCTGTGTTTGCTTCCAGCTATCTAGCCTCATTCTTGAACATGAAACATTTGTTTGCAAACATCTGCTAAACCAGAAGAGGCAAACTCATTAAAGAGCCATGATTAGCTGGGGCTAATCTTCTTGTCTTTAACGAATTAACATGATATATATCCTAGGATGGTTCGCATCAAGAGAGATTTGTTGCAAGAAATAAAAGCATTCTTGGCACCAACAGAAGAGAATGCTTGTAGCCCAGGGTTGAATTGTGGGGTGCTTTGTGCTCCCTAAGTTTGGTTGTTTTCTTGCAGACGCTTCATTATCCAACTAGGTAATATCATCAGTGTTAACCCCACTTCCCTTCTAGGTCTGATGATGTTATGTAGAAATGTCTGCAAGAAAACAACCAAGCCATAAAAATGACATTTATCTAATTCCACCTTGCAATATTTGCACTGACTCTCCATCAGTTATGGAGTCACTCAAATATTTTTTTTTCCCTCTTGAGAATGATAACACGGTGAGATTATTCAGATCCCAAGGCCTACCTTTTTATATAACTCCTAGACCAGGGGTAGTCAACCTTGGCTCTTTTATGACTCGTGGACTTCCAGAATTCCTGAGCCAGCTAAGCTGGCTCAGGAATTCTGGGAGTTGAAGTCCACGAGTCATAAAAGAGCCAAGGTTGACTACCCCTGGTCTAGACCCAGTGGCTTTCAACCTTAGCAACTTTAAAATGATTGGACTTCAACTCCCAGAATTCCCCAGCCGTCTATGCCAGAATCCCCCCAGTCTCAACCATCCATGGCTGGCTGTGGAATACTGGGAATTGAAGTCCAGACATCTTAAAAGTTGCTAAGGTTGAGAAATACTAGTGTAAAGGTATGATTTTTCTGCAGCAGTTTTTTTTAAAAAAACATTCAAGCAGATATATTCATTCTGTTGAAATCTTTTCCAGTGCATCTGGAATAGGAAAAGGAATGTCCACAATTGCATCCTCCATCCAGCCCAGACAAAAAAGCAGAGAAGAAATTAACAAGACTTTGGAAGTTTTTCCCCTTTCCCTTAAGCGGGAAGCCAGCCTGCAGATTACCCCATTATTAGGCTGCTTCGATTTTCATTCCCCCCTCTCCCACGTTTTGCCTGGAGATTCGCCTGGATGCACCAAGAAAACGTAAAGTAGTTTGGAAAGGCTGTGGATTTACACTCCTTGTCATGAGCATTTCGCTATCTGAAATAGCCCTGGAAGTTTGGAAAGCAAAAGTGGCAGCAGGGTGGACTTGTCTTAATTGTGCCCCGCGTCTAAAGAAAGCGATAACCATGTTGAGAGAAGAGAATATTGGCAGCTCGGGGTTGAGCTGTAGGGGTCCTTGATGCTCTCTGAGCTTGGCGTCTCTTGCAGACGCTTCATGACCCAACTAGGTAACATCATCAGTGCGTCCGTCTGCAAGAAAACAGCCAAGCTTGGAGGAGCAGCAAGGACCCCACAACCATTTCAATATTTTCAGTAGAAATACCAAAGGCTCTTGGTAGCAGCCTGTCCTATTTAAGTTTGTATGGAGCATAGTCTGCTTTATTCTCCAGGGCATGTCAATTATCCAATATATCCTCACCAGACTCATGTCCCTTAAAACTAGTGCAGAAGAAAAAAACATGCACAATTTGAGGGGGGGGGAGAGGAAGAGGCGACCTAATCACTACAGGTAGTCCTCAACCTACGACCAGAATTGGGACCAGAATTGTTAAGCAAAGTGGTTGTTAAATGAGTGCTGTCCGATTGTACCACCTTGTGACCACAGTTGTTAAGCGAATCACTGGAGGAAGGTGAATCACACAGTTGTTAAGCAAATCCAGCTTCTCTTGTTGACTTCGCTTGTAGGAGGCTGGCTGGGAAGGTGGCAGAGGCTGATCACGTGACCTCCAGGATGCTGCAAGCATCATAAATACATGCCAATTGCCAAAAACACCTGAATGTTGATCACATTAACTGTAATGGTGGTTGTAAGTGCGAGGACTGGGCGTCCGTCCCTTTTTTCAGTGCCATTTGTCAAGGTATTAATTTAATAGCTAAACAGCTTATGTAATGATGTAATGTAATATAAGGTGGATGATGCAAGGATAGGAATAACTCAGCAGGGTCTGTGCCTCTTTAAGAGCAAGCAGGGTCTGTATCCCTTTAAGAGTGTGAGTATAAAAGGGAAGGCTTTTGCTGCAGTGTCTCTCTCCCTCTCTCTCTCTCGTCCGTTTCCTGCTGTAACTGCTGTATGTTGGAGTTTGCTGTATTACCACGTGTATGTATCTTGTTCCTAGTGTATTTTGTAGATAGTGTAATAATATAAACCGCCATTTAATATAGACCACTGTTTACTGTATTTACTCCTGGGTTATCTCAGTGCAATAAGACTGTGCATGCTCTGACACCATTGTAATTTCGAACGGTCTCTAAACAAATGGTTGTAAATCGAGGACTACCTGTACTAGAATTTCAAACAATCAAGGTTTCTAGGTTTGCAATTAGTGGCGAATATCTGTAGCTCGGGTGGAGGATGAGGGGGAAGGTTCGTTCTCCGAGTCTGTGGGTTGGTTTTCCGAATGTTGCATTACCAGGCTAGCTAACATCTTCAACGGAGTTTAGGGGATGTCAGTGTCAGTTTTCAGTAGGTCTTGTGATGATGAGGTCCCATCAGGTGAGGGTCCCATCAGGTGAGGGTCTTGTGATGGGTCTTGGTCTTGTGATTGGTCCAATCACAAGATGCTGACCTGATGGGACCCTCACCTGATGTGACCTCACCATCACAAGACCTACTGACCACACAAAGCCCTTATAAACGGAAGAACACAGACACGCACATCCCTTAAACTCCACTGAAGATGTTAGCTAGTCTGGTAATGAAACGTTCGGAAACCTACCCACAAGCTCGGAGAACGAACCTTCACCCTCAGGGTTTCTAGGTCCATTCGGGCCAAACAATTAGGGTTCTCCATGTCTATTTAATCCAAACAATCAGCAATTCTATTGTGGTTTTGCATTTCTGGTGAGGCCCTAGAGCATCTTGGAAAAGATCACATAATATTCCCAAGCCTTTTCTAAATTTTCTAAATATCAAAAATTTCTTTTTTTCCTGCTACTTCAGCAGAAGGTGAAAGGGAATTCCTTTTCCAATCTTTCCTCATGCGGGCATCGTATTCACATACAAAGACCAAGGAGCCTGAGAGATCCACAAACAGCCTTGTGGGATGGGAAGTGATGCCCCACAGGTCCAAAACTGAGGGGGAAACCATACAGTTGAGCTAGACCAGGGGTAGGCAACCTTGGCTCTTTTATGACTCGTGGACTTCAACTCCCAGAATTCCTGAGCCAGCCATGCTGGCTCAGGAATTCTGGGAGTTGAAGTCCACGAGTCGTAAAAGAGCCAAGGTTGCCTACCCCTAAGCTAGACAGAAATTCAAATTACCTACTGCTTAGTTAGGGGCGACAAGGGACAACTCAAATCTCACACAATTACAAGGTAAGACAGAATGCGGTGGACAGAGAAACAGCAAAGGGGATCAAACATGATGTTTCTAAATGATCAGACAGACAGACAGAAAGAAAACAGAATGAAATCCTGGCCTTTTTTGGGACAGGATGAGGCAAAAAAAAAAAATTACAATAAAGAGAAACAGTGGCGCAAAGGAAATTCCTCCTGGTTATTCACTCCAAACTCTTAGTTATCCCTCTCCGATTCTAGTTTGGCTCATGTTTCTAACCATTAACTTATTGAGTTAAATCTCTTTTAAGATTTAAAGAGCACAATCTCCTTATTAACTGAAGAGACAGCCAGATGGGATCATAACTGTCTCTATCCTGTATAATGTGATTATCCAAAGGATTATACACTACCGAGGCCCTAATCCTAGCATCAAAATCATGTTCCTGGAAGCCAGCAAATCAATCAAAGGCACTCAGTAAAGATGAATATCTGACCTGGGGTAGTCATCTTCCACTAGCATGTGCTTTGGGATAGGTGAGTATCTTCCAGGCGAGATGGGGGCCAAAGAGGTCTTGTATTCTAAAGTGCCGTTGTTGCCTGGAGACAGGATGTGGTTTTCCATTGATGGGGAATAAGCTGCAGGTTAAAGAAGACATGCAAAGATAGTTAGATAAAATAAGATAAACTTTATTGTCATTTTTATACTGTGGGCACAATGGCACACATCAAAAATGAAATTTAGTTGCCTGCTCTCAAAGTGAAACACATACATGACACACACCTAAACATACTATGAACAACATATGTATAGACCCACATCTCTACATATACGTAGCAAATAAATAGTAAATATTGTCCATCTTGAATATATAACGGAAGGAGGAAGCTTGAGAGTTCACACGATTAATGCTGTATGGAATGAAACTCTGGCTGAATCTGGATGTTCTGCTTCGGATACCACAAAGCCCCCTCCCAGAAGGTAACAAGGAAAACAGGTCATGAAGAGGATGTGTAGTGTCCCAGATAATCTTACGGACCCTGCTCAAGCAGCGCTTCTGTGCCATGTCCTGGATGGGAGGGAGGGAACTGCCAATGATCTTTTTGGCCATTCTCACCACTCTCTGCACCGCCTTCCTGTCTGAAGCAGTGATGCCTCCAAACCAGACTGTGATGCTGTATGACAGGATGCTCTCGATTGTCCCCCTGTAGAAAGTGGTCAGGACAGGGGAAGGAAGATGTGCAGGCCGAGATACTACAGAAAATTCTGTAATTCATCTGGTTTTGCAAATAGGAATACATGGAAAGGATTTTAGGAATTTTAAGGGATCAAGGCTTAAACCAGGGGTCTCCAACCCCTGGGCTATGGCCCACTTACTACCGGGCCTTGAACCCTTCGGAACCGGGCCGTGGCAGTGGTGGGCGAGTGTGCATGTGTGCATCCCCACTTGTGTGAGCAGTGGGCAAGCATGTGCATTCCATTTGTGTGAGTGGCATATGCGCTTGCCCGAACTAACGCAGAACCATCTCCTCTGCCCCCACCCCCCCTTTGACAGTCCACAAAGCCAAAAAGGTTGAGAAACTCTGGCTTAAAGTATTGAATGACTGGCATTTACCATTAATACTCTTCAAAGGTTTAACTAGGTAAGGTGACCAACTGTCCTCCTTTAGGGAGGACAGTCCTCCTTTTGTAAGTTCTGTCCTCCCTCAAAAAGTGTCCTCCTTCATGTCCTCCTTTTTGATATTTGAAGACTAATCTGCAGGGCTTTTTTTCCCCTCATAGAATGCTCAGAACGGCGTTTCGGCACCTTTTTTTTTGATGGGTTTTTTTTTTAACTTTTGCATGAGCTGTGCTACTCCCACTATTGGCTTTCGAAAGCCAATCGGAATTGCTGCTGAGCGTGCCAAAACACCCGGCTGGCAAACTTTGCACATGCAAGTTGTCTGTATTATTGTTGCAATGAATAAAATGTTTCTTTTATTTACGATATTTTTTTCTTCAATTTATTTGTGTCCTCCTTTTCATTGTAAAAAAGTTGGTCACCTTAAACTAGGGCTCAGATGCTTAGCTGTAGGACCTCCAAAGAGATGTTTGTAATGATAGAAGAGAATATTTGTATCTCAGGGTTGAACTGTGGGATCCTTGGCGCTCTCTGGGCTTGGATGTTTTCTTGCGGACGTTTCATTACCCAGGTAGGTAACATCATTAGTGCTGGAAGGGAGTGGGCTTTGCTTTCTGTTTATATAAAAGTGGCTCACCCCAGTGGTGGGATTCAAATACCTGAACATCCAGTTCTCTGCATTGGATGCAGGTCTGGGCCTCTGAGGCCTAGAATGCACTTCCGGAAGTGACATCCATGCACTTCCTGTGGGCTGTTCTAGGCCTGGGAGGCTTCCTCCAGACCTCCAAGTCCTAGAACGGACTTCCGGAAGTGACATCAATGCACTTCCTTTGGGCTGTTCTAGGCTTGGAAGGCCTCTACCAGGCCTAGAACAGACTTCCGGAAGTGACATCCCAGGCCTAGAACGGACTTCCAGAAGCAGCATGGGTTCAGCCGGTTCTCCAAACTCAACAAAATTTAGCTACCGGTTCTACCGAACTGGTGCAAATCAGCTGAATTCCACCACTGGCTCACCCTGTCAATTTTGGTGGGAGTGTTCTTGGTGGGGCGTTAAGCAGGCTCAAGTCGCAACTGCGAAACATTTTAAATCCAATTTTCTTTTTCTGACAAAGAGTTAATTTAATTCTTTAACTCTTTGTCAGAAAAAGAAATTTGGATATATATATATATTATTAATTTTCTATTTTTACAAACAAGTGCTTAATAGACAATGTGTTGACTGGTTCCATTAGTAATTCCATGGTACATATAAGCTTCTTCAAACTAAATCCAATATTACACCATCCAATACCTCCTCTCTTCTTCCAGTAATAAAACATTTTTCCACATTAAGCAAATACAATTCTTATTGTTGTTAATAGATATACAGTTGAATATCAGCATTTATTAGTTTTCTAATTGTATCAATGATAGCAGTTTAAAATATCTTTTCTATTTGCACTCAATATCCATTTATTCAGTCAGTATCCTATTTTTGCTTTTTCCCCCCAGTTTTAATTTCCCATCCATATTCAAAATATCCCTATCATTTATAGTTTCAAAACAAGTTATGTTTGGGTAACCAAAAGCTTCCCTTGTTCAAACCTCTTAGCATTTTCTTATTTCCCTTTTCATGCCAAAATATGATATTCTGATTACCCATCTTCTCTATCTAGTTATAAAAATATTTCTGTTTCTAGCAATCTATTCTTAACCATATTCAAACATCTAATTGATAATATAATATCCCCTCTAATAGGTCAAAGCTTCTGTTTTCTTCAGTCTTACTCTAGCTTTCTTCCTTTGCCAACTAACTTTCCAAGTCTTGGTGCTTTCTTGATTAGGCTGTTATTAACACTGATGACGTTACTTAGTTGGGTAATGAACCATCTGCAAATAAACAACCAAGCTCAGAGAGCACCAAGGACCTCTTGTACAATACTAAATTGGTGCCAGATAAGAGTCAATGGAATTGAAGAGAGGCTGGACTTAAGCCATTTGTGGGAAAGTAAAACTCTAGGCTGATGACTCCCTTAACTCCACCCCCACACACACACTGTTCTCCTCTTCTCCTATGAGTTTTGGAGCAATTTAAGTGATCCTACACCTTGGTTAGATTAACCTCCTTCCCTCCCCCAGAATTATGGTTTCAATCACACGAGTTTCTTATCTCCCTTCTCCACAATTACTCACTGAAGGTGCTTCAGGACATTTGATTGAGAATCATTTATTCTGAATCTCTGTTTGGTACTTTATCCTTAAAATGTCACTCAAACATTTAGAATTTGACAGCAACATCCCAGAAAGAGCTTGTATATCATAACTTACGATGAGTAATATCTGGAGGGCCATAGGGGTCGGTCATATAGATGGTGGTTGGCTTTCCCACTTTTAAATAGACTACATCCGATGTATTCTTCAATATTGCTACCGCTTCTTCGTGTGTTACTTCTTCTAAACTGTAATTATTTACCTAAATGAGAGCAGAGAGAATGGTGGATTAAGCTGGCCTGATGTGGAAACTGAGCAGCCATTTGTTCACATGCTAATCAAAAGAAGACAACTGTTTACTCAAAGAGTACAGTAAATTACGCCAATTCCGTGTGACAAATAAGGTAGTTTATCGTTCAAATGCAGCTTTTCAGATGGCCGGTTCAGGTTATGAATTTTGGACTGGAGAAGCTACGCAGGACTGAATCTATTTAGTAAACGGGTGAGGGAACTAATCAAAGAGAGAAGCAACCTAGAACTAAGGAGAAACTTCCTGACAGTTAGAACAATTAACCAGTGGAACAACCTGGCTCCAGAAGCGGTGAATGCTCCAACACTGGAAGTTTTTAAGAAGAGACTGGACAGCATTTGTCCGAAATGGTATAAGGTTTCCTGCCTGAGCAGGGGGTTGGACTAGATGACCTCCAAGGTCCCTTCCAACTTTATCATCATCATCATTATTATTATTATTATTATAAAATCCCAGAGCTGCAAGCTGGACTGGGAAATAAAAAAACTAAAACAAAATACATTCTTGGAAGAAGATAATGGCGGTGCAGTGGTTAAAGTGCAGTATTGCAGGCAAACTCTGCTCACAGTCTGGAGTTTGATTCTGATAGGGCTTGAGGCTGACTTGGCCTTCCTCCCTCCTTCCAAGATCGGTAAAATGAGGACCAGATTGTTGAGGATAATATGCAAATAAATGCTTCTACATTGTAAACTTCCCAAAGAGTGCTGTAAAGCACTATGGGATGGTATGTACTGTAAATCTAAATGCAACTGCTGTTGCTAATGGAAAGTCCAATTGGATCTACTACCTGTAGATCGTAATAGGAAATGAGAAGGTACAAAGATGCACAGTAAACTAGTAAGATCCTGTATGCATTATGTGTTATATTTCACCAAGAGCTGTGGTGGCGCAGTGGTTAGAATGCAGTATTGCATGCTAATTGTGCTGACTAATGGCTGCCAGCAGTTTGGCAGTTCGAGTCTCACCGGTTCAAGGTTGACTCAGACTTCCATCCTTCCAAGGTAGGTAAAATGCGGACCCAGGTTGTTGGGGGCAAATATGCTGACCCTGTAAACCGCTTAGAGAGGGCTGTAAAGGACTGTGAAGCGGCATATAAGTCTAAGTGCTATTGCTAGTTCTATCACACAATCAATAAAAAATCAGTGCAAATTCTCACCATAAGAAGCCTGTCTCCTACTTGCAACCGTCCATCCTTTTGGGCTGCTCCACCATCAATAATTTTTGTGACATAGATGCTGTTGTCTCCAGGAATGTGCTGATTTCCTACGCCTCCGGCAATGCTGAATCCCAGACCTCAAGGGAAACGGAGTGGAGGATAAGTTTATTGAAAATGAATGAAGCTCAAAAGCAAGCTAGGTCAGCCACCCACATCCAAGAAGGACACGTGATGAACTTCCAAGTGGAGTTCTTTATTGCTCCACAGACAACATCTTGCCAAACTGAAGCACCCTCCTATCTACAAGAAGCATATACAGGGAGTCTTTGACTGACAACAGTCCGTTTAGTTCAGACCGTTCAAAGTTACAACAGCACTGAAAAAAGTGAGGACCCAGATTGTTGGGGGCAAATATGCTGACTCTGTAAACCGCTTGAAGAAGGCTGTAAAGCCCTGTGAAGTGGCATATAAGTAACTCTAAGTGCTCCCAAAGGTGATTTTTTCAGGAGGCAACTGGACTCTCTTGTTTTTCTTTGAAGACGTTTCGCTTCTCATCCAAGAAGCTTCTTCAGCTCTGACTGGATGGTGGGGAGTGGAAAGATTTATACTCCTTGCAGACAGCTGTTCATTTGCCTTCTTTTAGAGAGTCGTTAAAGCTACCTGGAGGCTTATCTGTGTCTTCAGGGTCACCTGAGTGGTGCAAATGGGTGTGGAGCCTTCTCGGAACTGCTGAAAGGACTGTGTTGTAGACTGGAGATAGATGATGTCGGATCCCTTCCACTCTGTTGAGAGAGGGCTGTTCAATTTGGACACAAATGGTCTGTTTGACCCCTCTTTCAAACCAGAGGTGTCAAAGACCTGGATGACTGAGAATCTCCAAAGACAAGTCTAAGTGCTATTGCTATTCACCTAACTACTGCCTCACTTAGCTAAGGAAGTTCTGGTCCCAACTAGGTTGAGGACTACCTCTAGTGTGTTTGCCCCATTTTCCATAATTACCTTTTGGTCCTTTGTACAGTTTAATTTCCACCACAGTCTCCAGAATAGGTCTCCTCCGACGGACATACAGTCGTACTATGGAGCCGGCTTCCTTGAGCGCCTCAACAGCTTTGCTGTGGGAAACTTCGGACACATCCACCTCATTCACCCGCAAAATGCAGTCATTGACTCTGGAGGGGAAAACAACAGGAACAGGAGACCATTATAGCATGTTGGGTATGTCAAGTTTAATTTAATGTAATTGGGTATGTCTAGTTTAATGAAAAGAAGGATAAGGGGTGACATGATAGCAACGTTCCAATATCTCAGGGGCTGCCACAAACAAGAGGGAGTCAAGCTATTCTCCAAAGCGCCTGAAGGCAGGACAAGGAGCAATGGATGGAAACTAATCAATGAGAGAAGCAACCTAGGAGAAATTTCCTGACAGTTAGAACAATTAATCAGTGGAATAACTTGCCTCCAGAGTTTGTGGGTGCTCCAACACTGGAAGATTTTAAGAAGAGATTAGACAACCATTTGTTTGGAATAATATAGGGTCTCCTGCCCAACCAGGACTTTGGACTAGAACACCTCCAAAGTCCCTTCCAATACTGTTATTCTATTCTATTCTATTCTATTCTATTCTATTCTATTCTATTCTATTCTATTCCATTCCATTCCATTCCATTCCACTCCATATTTTCTCTTCTCTTCTCTTCTCTTCTCTTCTCTTCTCTTCTCTTCTCTTCTCTTCTCTTCTCTTCTCTTCTCTTCTCTTCTCTTCTCTATTCCATGTTTTCTATTCTATTCTATTCTATTCTATTCTATTCTATTCTATTCTATTCCATTCTATTCCATTCCATTCCATTCTATTCCATTCCATTCCATTCCATTCCATTCCATTCTATTCCATTCCATTCCATTCTATTCCATTCCATTCCATTCCACTCCATATTTTCTCTTCTCTTCTCTTCTCTTCTCTTCTCTTCTCTTCTCTTCTCTTCTCTTCTCTATTCCATGTTTTCTATTCTATTCTATTCTATTCTATTCTATTCTATTCTATTCTATTCTATTCTATTCCATTCCATTCCATTCCATTCCATTCCATTCTATTCTATTCTATTCTATTGTGACAATATATATTGTAATTTCAACATGGGAAAGGAAATGGTCAGCAGTGCAGGAAACATGGTGGGATTCTTGGAATATTTTCAAGGAAAGGAACTCGCAGGAGATACAGACCCATGTCAAACCTTTGTATCATTGGTGTACAAAGAAATAGAATACTGGTAGTTCTCGACTTAAAAACCATTCATTTAGTGACCATTTGAGGTTACAACAGCACTGGAAAAACAATGTATGGTTGTTTTTCACATGAACGACCACTGCAGCATCCCCAGGAGTCATGTAACCCAAATTTGGATGCTCATCAACTGGCTCATATTTATGAGGGTTGCAGTGTCGCAAAAAGGGGTCACGCAATCCCCTTTTGCGAACCTCTGAGGAGCAAAATCAACGGGGAAGTCACTAACGACTGTGTTACTAACTTAACCACTGCAGATTCACTTAACAACTGTGGCAAGAAAGGTCATAAAATGGGGCACACCTCAGATAAGAACTGTGTTGCTTAGAAATGGAAACTTGGGGCTCAGTTGTGGTCATAAGTCCCCAAATTACAGCAGGTCATTTACTGAACAGTTGGAGTTATAATGGTGTCAAGGATGAAACTTTGGCAGCTACGTGCCTCTCCATTTCAACTTGCCTTTAGATTACGGGGAGAGATGTTATTTTCAAATCGGTCAGATAGAGAAACAAAACCTCTACGATTTCGCTGAAGACAGTGAGAGCCTGAAGCCTTTTCAAGGACACCAGAACAGGTGTGGATTTGAAGCAGACGGTTCCCATAACAAAGTGAACTTGTTTATATGGACTATGTAAGACGTTGGGGGGGTTGGCTGGGAAAATTATTGTTTAAGTCTATGAACTGGTGTTGGAACCTCAGAGTTAGTGTTGCTTCGACATAACCACTAAGTGTATTCAATAAACTGTAAGATATTCGGAAACAGAATTAATCTGGAGTTTTATTTGGATTCTCGAGCTGAATGTTGACAAATGGATTGCAACTCAGATTCAAAGTTCTGACATGGCCACATGATCACATTTTGGGCAATTGACAACTGCTGTTTGCTGCATTCTATGATCATATGACCACTATTTACAATGGGGTTTTTTTGCCAAAAAAAAGGGTTTCTGGCAAAAAAAACCCACCCATTGTGGACAATGGATTTGCTTAATAACCATCACATTCAATTAACGACCTTGGTGATTTACATAAAGACTGCTGCAAAAAAAGATCATAAAATCAAGTCTGGTCACACAATGGTCCCAATGTCTATGCAGTAATGTCCACCTTAATACACAGTCATGGGCAGGCTTACAGTCGTAAATTGAGGCCTATCTGTATAGGGCAGGGGTAGGCAACCTTGGCTCTTTTATGACTTGTGGACTTCAACTCCCAGAATTCCTGAGCCAGCCACGCTGAGGGGAAAGGGAGAGGTTTCCAAGCTGAGCCATGCTGGCTCAGGAATTCTGGGAGTTGAAGTTCACGAGTCATGAAGGGGCCATGTTCCCCCATGCTGACTCAGGAATTCTGGGAGTTGAAGTCCACGAGTCATAAAAGAGCCAAGGTTGCCTACCCCTGGTCTAGGACATTGAAATTAATTTACGTTTACAGTTGTAATTTCCCTAAATATTAATTTGAAATCCAGGCTTATAATTGTCTTTTTAAAGGGCGGAAATCAGGGGTGTCCAAAATCTGGACAGGATCAAAAGAGGCAGAATAGAATAGAATAGAATAGAATAGAATAGAATAGAATAGAATAGAATAGAATAGAATAGAATAGAAGCTGGAAGGGACCTTGGAGGTCTTCTAGTCCAGCCCCCTGCTCAAGCAGGAGAACCTATACCATTTCAGATGGTAGAAACAGGCTGAATAATAGGCTATAAAAGTAAAAAGTCGAGGTTTTATGTTATTACCTTACTCTACTGTGCCAAAAGGAGTCAGGAGTCAATGTTTTTCTTTTTCTGTCCCCAGTTGCCCTATACCCGTGGTGGCGAACCTATGGCACGGGGGCCAGACTGGGCCCACAGAGCCCTTTCTGTCGGCACGCACGCCAGAGGGACGTTCCCCTCCCCCTCTCCATGTGGCCTGACTAGTGGGAACTGGAGAGGGGAGGGCAACTGAATCTAGCAGCACTCTCGCGGGAATAGCTGTGAGAGCTGGGCAGGGAGAGGGGAACCTATAAAAGGAGCAGGTTTTGGCGGGAGTGCAGCGAGAGCGAGTGAGTGAGCAGACAGCCTTTGGAAGCGATGGTGGGCGTGAGTTTGGAGAAGACAAGCAGGACGTGAGCAACATCGAGCTGGCCACGCCTACCCTGGCCACACTCACCCAGTCTGCCATGGCCACTGTAGCCACGCCCACCGAGTGGGCCATGCCCACTCAGCACCCTGTGAGAGGGATCTCGGAGTCCTAGTGGACAATCACTTAAATAGGAGCCAACCGTGTGCTGCAGCTGCCAAAAAGGCCAACACAGTGCTAGGCTGCATTAACAGAGGGATAGAATCAAGATCACGTGAAGTATTAATACCACTTTACAACGGCTTAGTAAGGCCACACTTGGAATACCGCATCCAGTTTTGGTCACCACGATGTAAAAAAGATGTTGAGACTCTAGAAAGAGTACAGAGAAGAGCAACAAAGATGATTAGGGGACTGGAGGCTAAAACATATAAGGAATGGTTGCTGGAATTGGGTATGTCTAGTTTAACGAAGAGAAGGACGAGGGGGGACACGATAGCAGTCTTCCAATATCTCAGGGGCTGCCCCAAAGAAGAGGGAGTCAAGCTATTCTCCAAGGCGCCTGAAGGCAGGATGAGAAGCAACGGATGGAAACTGATCAAGGAGAGAAGCAACTTCAGAACTAAGGAGAAACTTCCTGACAGTTAGAACAATTAACCAATGGAACAACCTGCCTCTCCAGAAGCGGTGAATGCTCCAACACTGGAAGTTTTTAAGAAGAGACTGGACAGCCATTTGTCTGAAATGGTGTAGGGTTCCTGCCTGAGCAGGGGGTTGGAATCGATGACCTCCAAGGTCCCTTCCAACATCATCATCATCATCATCATCATCATCATCATCATCATCATCATTATTATTATTATTATTATTATTATTATTATTATTATTATTATTGTTGTTGTTGTTGTTGTTATTATTATTATTATTATTATTATTATTATTATTATACATAAGTGGTTTTGGGTTGCAGTTTGGGCACTCGGTCTCTAAAAGGTTCGCCATCACTGCCCTACACTTTTTTCCTTTGCCCCTTTTCCGCTCCTATTTCCCCATTATCTTCATTTTCATTTTTTTTACAGGTTGCCACAATTTGGCCTGACTGTTGGATTTTTGAATCCAGATTATAAATACCTCCAGGCAGGTCCATCTTAATGTCAAATGGTTGCTAAGCGATCATTTATAAGTTGAGGACTACCTTTATGGCAGCTAGAATTTCCAGCTTTGCCCAGCCAGCCTGGTGGCTTCTGTTAAAAAAACAACAACTGGTTGTCCAATGGGATAGCTTTATTTGCTATGTAAATAGTAAATTTATTTAGAAGCCCATTTATTAAACGGGCTTCTAAATAGTATTGTTGTCGGGGTGGTTCCCAAACATAAAATAAGAAAACCTACTTTTATTTAAGTTGTGCCTTAGGACAGCAAACTACAGGATGAAAAATCCCAGCAGGACAGGAAAAATAATAATTAAAAACTAGGCACTCGCTATTTTTATACCTAGTTAAGTATAAGCTATAGCTCAACAGAAGGCAAAATAAACATTCTCAGGATTCATAACAATTTGCTAGGAAAAATCTCAGGCTGGAGCAATTACAAAATACCATGCAATCTATATAAAAATAAATTAAACTGCTTTCCACCGAATAAACGATGCGTGATCGGAAATAGATCTCAGTAGACATGATTAAGACAGAGGGAACAGCAGCACGAAATTTTATTTCCATTTCGGAGGTGAATAAGTTTTGCTAATCACACATACCACGCGCACACTATTTGAAGACATACTTTAACTGACAAAATAAAAAAAGTTCCAGTTTTGCTCTGTGATTCTCTATT